CGCGGGGGGGGCCCCCCTGCCGCAAGTGGCACCGGCTCCCGTGTCCCTCAGTGGAGCGTCCGGCAGGCCGCGTGGCGGTCTGGTCCACACGGCCGGGACTCAGCAAGGGCTGCAGCTCCCATACTAGCCAGACACCGGCCACCGGGGGTGGGACCCCATGACATGAGCTGCGCAGGACAGGCAGGGCCACAGGGGCAGGGAGGGGGTTCGTGGTGCAGGGCTGGGGGACAGGAGAAGTGAGGTACTCTCAGGGAGCAGCAGTGGCCGTCCGACCTCCCGAGTGGCCGCCACGTGGCCGAACTGCCTGCTGGGAGAAATGAACCCCGTGCCGGCCTGGCGGTTAGCGAGGCGGGATCCCACGTGGCTGACCATGGTCTGAGTCTGTGCCCCAAATGTCCACAAGATGAAGCACGAAGGGGACTGCAGCGTGACCACGGGTGCTTTCTCCCTGCCCTCCCGGTCTCGCTGGCCAGCCCACACTCCCTGGAATTTTCAAGGTATTTTCTATTTAGGTTTTGCCAGGGGTGCGTGCCTATCAGCGAGTCACCGCGAGGCTGCGTGCGCACACCTGGCGCGATTTTCAAGCCGCTGGGTCTGGGGCTGCAATTATGGGTGGCAGACATATAGGGCCCGGCACCCTGAGCACCACGCCACGACTGGCCCTGGAAAAATTTTTTTAAAAAAGAAAGGGACTGGAAGATGGTGTCATGGTTACGGGTTGCCGGCTGCAGTTCGAGTCCTGAACCCAGCGGCTTGAAACTGGTGCCAGGTGCGTGTGTGTGCGTGCCCACAATCCTGAGAAGAGAATGGAGGAAAAGGGACCGTGGCGTGGCCATCTCCCCGGGGGGTGATTTCTCACTTTCTGTCTCTGTCTCTCTGTGTCTCTGTGTCTCTTTGGCAAGTGCACACGCCCTAGAGCAAACATCTCTTTAAAAAATGCAAAAACTAAAAAAAGGAAAAGAGGGGCCAGCAGGTGGCACAGAGGTTAGTGCTGGACGCCCACATGGCCCACCACGGCTCGGGTCCCAGACCCAGCGGCTTGAAAATCATGCCTGGCAGCTGTGCGTGCTCAAGGCCTGAGAGGAGGGCGGAGGAGAGGGGATTGTGGCGTGGCCATCCCCGGGGGCGGCTCCTCACTTTCTCCATCTCTGTCCAGGGAGCGCATGCACCCTATGACAAAAAAAAGAGGAAGAGAGGCGAGCAGTGGCGTGGGCGTGGTAAGGCACTGGGGCCCACGTGGGCAGCTCCACTGTTCGAGTCCGATGGGGGCGCGACCTCTCCCCTTCCCGCTCTCAGAACCTGTCTCTCCAGTGCGTGCACACTCTCTATGGCAACAATATAAAGAAATCAGAAGAGAAAGAGCATTGCCACAGACGGGATTTATGAAGCTGGAGAGGAACCATACAAATCTAAAATTTCTGTTTAGAGACGACCACTTATTGGGGCCAGCAGGTGGCGTGGTGGTTAAGGCACAGACCCCATATGGTGGACTGCGAGGTTTGAGGCCACGACCCGGCTGCTTGGAAAACACTCGGGTGTGTGTGCGTGCCCAGGTCCGGAGGGAATGGGCGCCGGCGAAGGTGACACTTGAGCTGAGACCCTGTTGGGGGTGGATGATGTCCACCCCACAGATGTCCCCGTGGAGGGGCCGTTTGGGCTGGGGCCTTTGCGGAGGTGAGCAGGGCTCGATGAGGTGGTACCGGCGTGGGGGCGCCCTCGCCCACTGGTGTCCTCGGGACAACACGGTGCACACGGAGGGAATAAAGCCAAGGCGTGGCAGAGCCTGGAGCAACGGCCGCCAGCCGGGGCTGCTGGAGCGTGGCAGCTGCCCTCCCTGGGCCGGCCCTTGGTCTCTGCCCAGCCTCTGGGGGCCCCCAGTGAGTGCCACGCTGCCAGGCCGCCCCAGGGAGCTCCCACAGACCCGGAGGTGACAAGGCCCTGAGGCCAAGCCGTGGGAGGGGCAGCAGATGGCAGCTGGGCAGCGCTGCCCGGCCGCGTGGCCATGTGGGCAGCCCCGCAGCCAGGCAGCCCCTTCCTCCTGGTGCCCAGGCCTGGCTCACGGCTGTCGGCAGGGGACGCCGCCTCCC